ACTTTACTTAAAAGGTTGATGTCTCTTAATTAATAAATGTATGTTCTAGGTACACATGAACTTGGATGATTGAATTCTTGGTCACGTTTTTTCGTGCCCCATTCGATCAAAATCAAATGCTAATCGTTTAATATATGAAAATTTATTTAAAGAGTTAATATCGCTGACAAATATTCTTCTGTACATGATCTTAGATATAATGAATTAATCATATGCTCAAGAGACGTATTTATTTGTCTTGATTTGTATGGTTGAATGTTAGACTTATAATCTACAATCTTAGAATTTAAAAGATGATGTATCACATGTTGGAGATATGGAAATAAATGTTTCGGATGAATTTATTGTGAGCATTTGAAAGTTGAAGATCTAAATTTGTCAAAGATAATAATGTCTATTTTGTGTTCTATCCTCATTCATGCTTTGTCAAATCACAGGATTTGAACGAGACTCTTCTTGAGGGCAAGCTTGGAGAAGATGGTCTCTATCATTTTCATCCAATTCTTGCAAAGAATAATTCCAACTCTGGCGGCATTTCCAAGCATCTTGCTTTTCTTAATTCTGCACCCTCTATTTTTGTTTCTAAACAGTGTAAACATGTTGTTTCCAATACTTACAAACAGTGGCATTTATGATTAGGGCATCCTCATCATGATGCACTAATCAAAGCTCTACAATTGTGTAACATTCGCATTCCTCACAGTAATAAAATTTCCAACTTTTGTAATTCATGTTGTGTGGCTAAATCTCATAAACTCCCTTCTAAAACCTCCACCACTGTTTATTCCAAACCACTTGAACTTGTTTTTCTTGATGTTTGGGGACCTGCATCATTAGATTCCAGTTGTGGTTATTTGTACTTTTTGACGTGTGTTGATGCTTGTACTAGATATGTATGGATTTATCTTCAGCACCGAAAGTCCGACGTTCTCTCTCACTTTCTTAACTTCAAAGCACTTGCTGAAAAACAATTTCAAACTCCACTTAAGGCGGTTCAAACTGATGGTGGTGGTGAGTTTCGTCCCTTAATCCCGTTTTTACAGAAAGAAGGCATCGTTCATCGACTTACCTGTTCGTACACTCATCATCAAAATGGCATGGTTGAAAGGCGCCATCGTCATATTGTTGAACTGGGCTTGGCTATGCTTCATCATGCTTCGTTACCACTCAAATTCTGGGATCATGCTTTTCTGACTGCTGTTTATCTTATTAACCGGCTCCCCTCCTCATCCATTGATCATCATTCACCCTACAAACTCATTCATCACAAAGAACTTGATTACCAGTTTCTAAAAGTCTTTGGCTGCTCCTGTTTTCCATTACTCAGACCCTACAATTAGCATAAGATTCAACCTCGGTCCGAGGAGTGTCTCTTCTTGGGCTACTCTCCTACTCACAAAGGCTACAAATGCTTAAGTAAGTCTGGTCGCATCTACATCAGCAAAGATGTAGTGTTTAATGAAGACAGATTTCCCTACCAGGATCTTTTTGTCTCCAAATCTGTATCATCTGCCCCTGCCACCTTTGTCTCCAATATTCCATCTCTCATCAGTCCTCCCAATCTCTTCTCCCTTAACCCACCTCAATCTGCTCTACTTGAGAGCTCTGCTTCTTCAGATGATGGTCTCTTACGCTCTCAATCTGCATCTGTTGATTCTCAACTTCCCTCATCAATTTCATCACCCAATACCTTTGCTGCCTCTGCTTCAACTTCAGAACTGGCCAGACCCCTTAACCTTCATCCAATGACCACACGCTCGAAAAATGGTATTGTTCAACCCAGACTAAACCCCGCACTTCTTCTTTCACATGTTGTGCCCAAGACAGTCAAAACTGCATTAGCTGATTCTCATTGGCTTGCTGCCATGCAAGCTGAAATCACAGCCTTACATAACAACAAAACCTGGACCTTAACTACCCTGCCTCCTGGCAAAAAACCCATTGGCTGCAAATGGGTTTTTCATGTCAAGGAGAATCCTGATGGCTCAATAAATAAATATAAAGCTCGGCTTGTTGCAAAAGGCTTCCATCAACAACCCGGTTTGGACTTCTCTGAAACTTTTTCTCCTGTTGTGAAACTTGTGACCATTCGCATTGTTCTTTCACTTGCTGTCTCCTTTCGGTGGCCTCTTCGACAACTTGATATTAATAATGCCTTTCTCAATGGCATACTTGAGGAGGACATTTACATGTCTCAACCCCCTGGCTTTGTTGACTCTGCCAATAAAAATCTTGTTTGCAAATTGCACAAATCTCTTTATGGCCTAAAACAGGCTCCTCGCGCATGGTTTGACAAACTCACGTCTGTGTTACTCATACTTGGCTTTAGCAAAAGCACGTGTGATCCCAGTCTCTTCATTTTCTCCACATCAGCTGCAACTGTTTTTATGCTTGTCTATGTTGAAGATATCATTGTCACGGGAAATTCCCCTTCCTTGCTACAGAAATTTGTTACCCAACTCAATGCTACTTTTTCTCTTAAAGATCTTGGCACTCTGGACTACTTCTTAGGCATTGAAGTTAAATCTCTCTCTCACGGAAAGTTGCTACTCTCCCAAGATAAGTATATCACTGATCTTCTTACTAAGGTCAACATGGAAGATTCAAAAGGCATCTCCACTCCTATGATTGGTGGTCAACAACTTGCTAAAGATGCTACTCTATTTGATGATCCTACTTTGTACAGATCCGTAGTTGGTGCATTACAGTATGCCACAATTACGCGACCTGAAATTGCCTTCAGTGTTAACAAGGTAAGTCAGTTCATGTGCTCTCCCATGGAAGAGCATTGGAAAGTTGTCAAACGAATTCTTAGATACCTAAAAGGAACTGTCGGTCATGGACTTGTGTTCTCTCCTTCAAAGCACACTGCTCCCTTCAATCTCACTGCATTTACTGATGCTGATTGGGCGTCTGATCCGAATGATCGAAGATCAACTTCAGCGGCATGTCTCTATCTTGGTCCTAATCTCGTGTCTTGGTGGTCCAAGAAATAGCTACTTGTTGCCCAATCTAGCACTGAAGCTGAATATAGAGCCTTAGCTCAAGCTGTAACTGAAGTTTTGTGGATTCAGTCACTTCTGAAGGATTAAAGGTTCCCCTAAACACTCCTACTGTACTTTGTGACAATCAAAGTACTGTTGCACTCTCGCACAATCGTGTTTTACACTCAAGATCCAAGCATATGGAGCTTGATATCTTTTTTGTTCGTGAAAAGGTACTCAACAAGTCCATCGTTGTTTCGCATATACCTGCCCAACATCAGTTTGCGGATGTCCTGACCAAGGCCTTGTCTCCCAATCGATTTCTTCTTCTTCGCTCCAAGCTCAATGTTGCTGATCCATCTACTATGTTTCATCCCCCTTGAGCTTGTAGGGGGTGTATTAGAGAAGAGAATAGGATAATAAATACTTTTATTTGTTGTATTATTTATGTGTATTCAAATATATTTTCTGATTGTATTTTGCTAACACCTTTAGGTTAGTTAGTCTTGTTGACTTACTAACTCTTGAGTTAGTTAAGTCCGTTAGGTCTATATATGTAGGTGATACCTCTCTTGTATTACTTTATCAAATTTACTCATATTCAATAATATTTCTCTAAGAATTCTTTCTCTTATATCTCCACTCCTCCTCTCTAATCATCCGTATTTTTTTCTCTCTTTTTTTACTCTGTTCTCCTTGTTTCTTTTTTCTTCTATTTTTTTCTCTCTTCTCATTCTCGTGATTTTCTTCTTTTACTTTTTTTTTTCCTGTTTGCATCTTTTTTCTGTTCCATTTCTTTCTCTTTTTTCTGTTCATTTTTTTTTTATTTGGGTGTTTTTGTTCTTTGGTGATCAACAAAACCATGACCCAACCAAACGCTAATTAACCAAAAAATAGAGCTTAGGGGTTGGTGTTGCTGGAACTGGTCCGGGTCCTAGTCCCACACCATCAATGGGTTCTTCAATCAAAATGTTCACGTCTACTGGTGACAACATTGATGTATTTTGGAAGTGGAACAACTTTAGCACTTTGTTTTCTAGACATTTTATGCTATATTTTGTTTGAGTACTATGAAATTTTATTATTAAAAAGATTAATGCATGAATTTAGAGTTTTTTCTCCCTTTTTTTTAGCTAATATGTATATATATTATTAATTATTAATTATTTAATATATATAAATATAATATTAAAATAGCGATCTACCCACTATCCCACTTTTGGGGTCGGCCGCTCTGCTTCGCTATCCGGGATTGAATACTATGATATTTTAAAATATGAATTACAACACCCCAATGTCCCTCACATAAAGAGTTAAATGTCTCAACACTAACTGAAAAAGAAATATTTGGATGTTATTGGCTTTGACTTTGATCCTGTGTTTGCCTACCACAACTGCTGCAAATTCTAGTTGTGTTGATTTGTCAAAGCTGTATAATCATCATTCTAAAGTGGAGGAAACATGAGGAAAGAGGTTAACTGAGTCACTTTTTTTCACTAAGAAACAATTGGAGCACTTGTACAAGTTCTTTTCAACTAAAATGTCAATATGTCCATTCTTTTCTCTGGCCACAAAATGTATTTTCTTTTCTACTAATTTTAGTACCAAACAAGATTCTTGCGATTAGTATTGCCAGACTTCATCATTGTATGGAATTGGGAGCTGACTCATACAATTCATGCGATTCTAACTGCACTGGTTTTTACCACCATCATCTAATATTTCTTGGTCCATCACGGCTTGTATTACAAGTTTTATGGGGTTATTTTCTCTATTATAAATTAGAAACAACTAGATGCACAATACTATACACTTGTGCATTAAAGTTGGGGTTCCTTTATGATCTTTTCTTTCTTCACAGATATAATTATGCATCCCCCTTTAGCTATGATATCTGATTTGATTACATTGATATGTACATCTTTCATTTTGTTTATTATTATTTTATTTTTACTAAAAACACCTTAATATTTTACAATGTATGATATGCTGAATTCTTCCATTGACTTTACCCAGGTTAGAGAGCATTTAGAACTGTTTGCCATATTAAAGGGTGTGGAAGAACACTCATTGGACAATGTTGTTACTAATATGGCTGATGAGGTGAGTTCGGTAATTTTAAGTCTTAACAAATTTTGATTTTACCATCCATAACTATGATTTAGAAAGTTTTGTTGAATTGAACTTGTAAAATTATCTAATCAATTGAGATATTGTTAGTCTTATAATCTTATTTTTCCTAGTCTCAACCGTTAGATTTCATCGTAAGTGAAGTTGCCCAACAAATATATGGGTCGCACCCCAACAATTGAGGCAAGCAATGTGAGACCTTCCAACACCCCCTTCCATAGGTACCTGCCTAAATAGGCACTTTACCAAGATAGGTTATAGGTTTTGATATCATGTTAGATTCCATTTTAAAACCAATTGGCATCAAGTGATGTTTTCAACAAATATGTAAGTTACACCCTAAAAATTGAGGCAGGTGATGTGAGACCTCCAACATTAATTTTCTAATCACCTTTTGCTTGAAACAAATAGATTGCAAAACAATTTATATACAAAAATTGTTATTAAGTTATGCTAAAGTGTAATTAAGCTTGATTGCACTTGCAAAATATTAACTTGTGTTTAGGTAAGACTTTATTAATCAAGGAAAGCTTGTGTGCATTCCTACTTTGTATGGCTCTTTGTCATGACCTGAATTCTGGGTCCATGGCTTGTGAATTGCTGAGATGACATAGGCTTGTGCAAGTCATTCAAGCCTCAAAAATTAACAATAACCAACACCGTACTTCCATTTTTAACTTGCAAAATAATCCAATCAACTTAGTATGTTAGATAACTTTTATTGTATAAACAGGTGGGCCTGGCTGATAAAATCAACAGTATTGTGAGAACTCTTTCTGGTGGCATGAAGAGGAAGTTGTCTCTTGGAATTGCATTGATTGGAAACAGTAAGGTAGGACCCATATTGACATCATTTTGTTATATTCATATGTTGAACAAAACTGGAATCTTTGGGATTTACATGACAGGTTATAGTCCTTGATGAACCCACTAGCGGAATGGATCCATACTCGATGCGCTTGACTTGGCAATTAATAAAAAAAATTAAGAAGGGCAGAATAATTTTGCTCACTACACATTCTATGGATGAAGCAGAAGAACTAGGTGACCGGATAGCTATCATGGCCAATGGTTCTTTGAAATGCTGTGGAAGGTTAATTTCATTTTCACTTTTTCTCAAATATTATGTCTTGGAGAAACTCTGAAGAACTTCTGGTATTTTAATTTTTGTAATATTTCCTGCTAGAGAGATGTTTACACTTGATAAACCCATTTGGAAATCTAAGTAAGACATTCTCAAAGGATAAATTAAATCCTTTATCTAGATAGGACTGCTTGATATACCAATGGCATGCTGTAGATTTGTATGCCCCATGTTGCTTCTTCTCTTGACGTTTGTCTTGTGAGCTGCCTAGCTCAGAAATAGTAGCCTTTCGATTTCCAAATTTCTGGGAAGCTATTTTCCTTTTAAATAAGATGTTTAGTGTATTCAGATTTGGGCATTTCCTTTAAGTTGGCAGAAAAATTTTATATTTCATTCTAATAGCTTATGACAGTGAAGTTTTTTCACCATCATTTTTGGGTTGGAGATATAAAACCATTTTTATTCTTTCACCTAACTGCTTAAGTTTATAGAGAGTTGATGCTTCCAATGCTAGCATTAGCTCATAAACTGGTACATTTTATGATTGAAGCTCCTCCCCAAATCAAGTGAAAACATTAAAAAAAAATATGGATTCTGATTTGACTTTGGTTAACATGTACAAATTTGTGATTTTACTGGTTGTTTAAATGAGTTCACAAGGAGACTTAAAATTTAGTCTCAAGATGCATTATTACGGCATTTGAAAAAATTTACATTTTCATTTTCCAAAATTGCATGCAATTCCTCTGGCTTGATGTTTGCTTTTGTTATTATTTATTGTACTCTCCTATATTGTTTTCTTCACTGTTTTTGTAATTGTTCATTCCATGCTATGTTTCACCCATCTATTAGGGCTCAAAAAGTTCCCTGCTCTTGCCCCATTGCCAGAGTGAACTTGTTGTTTTGTCTCTGTTCTGATTTATTCCCCAAAATGTAATGCTAAAATGTTTTACCACTGATATATTAGGGCTAAGAATCTGTTGATTTTTTTTACCTACCATCTCCAAGTTTTAAGGAGGATTTGTCACTGGAAAACTTGCATTTTGTATTTGACTTGTGATCCTTGTGGAAAATCGTCCATACTCACTAACTATTTTAGTATTTTTCTTAAAACAGATACAAACAATATTCCTGGAAGTAGGGTCATTTAATTAAATTTTTCAGTAAGCTAGCTCATCCCATAAATCATGGGATTTAACTTGTATACCTTTCCTTTTTTAACTTTGGGTCTTCATGTTGAAATCCCTGTTTTTCTAAGCCTGAGAATCTTTTTACACATCTTGTTAATTTGAGGCATGGGAATTTTGAGTTTTTTTTTTTTTTTTTTTGTGATTTGTGAATCCTGAATTATATATTTGACTGTATACAAGATTTTTATTTTTTATTTTTTAATTTTAGGACATTTCTAATCTTCATCAATGGGGGAAATTGTGGTATTCTGAGATTGTTGGAGAATTTGGAGAGCAGTTTTTCCATCGATTTTTGTTCCATATTTTCTTAATGCAATGGGAGAACAACTTTTAGTTAGTTTGTTGTATGTTCTTCATCTTCCCATAAAGTTTCTTTTGTCAGTAAAGGAAAAAAAATTTATTGGATTTGAAAGATGTTAGGATCCTTTCTTTGCCAAGAGTGATTACTTCAATTACAAAAACAAACAGTAGAAAGAATAGGAAAGTAAGTTCATCATTCAAGAATAGGAAAAGACACCTTACACAAGTGTACACAAAGGATCACTCCTTTCACACCGAAACAATTCAGCTGAAATTTAGAATTGTCCCTCACCTCTTCATTTAGAGGGTTATTTATAGCTGGAAAACTTGCATACAACAGCTAGTCTTTTAACAACCTCTAACTGCCAACTAACAAACTAATTTGCCCCTTCCTTCGAGAACAGAGTTGTAGGGTTTGTTTGGGAAATTCATTCTCATGCCTAACAAAAGATCCTTTATATATATTTGTCTGAAACTGTTGACTGTTCCAATTTGTAAATTTTCATGAAATTTTATGGTCCAGGTTGTTGAGAATCTGAATCAGCATCTATTATTTGAGTTTATTTCATATCTGCGCGGGTATCCATGAATTTCTTAAATATCCACGGATATCTATATCCATGGATATTTATAAATTTTTTAAGAAATTAAAAAATTTATATTATAAATAATTTTAAGTTTATATTTAATGCCATT